CAAATTGAGCACAATATTTAGAGTAATGGATATGTGAGGGCCTTTGAATGTGTAGCCCTTGCATTTGGTTGCCCCATCTGGAGCCAACTGGTTAAGTGTTTCCTCTTTTGGAGTAGGGTGAGGCAGCCTTCTACTGAAAGCGTCTCCTTTCACTGGTGACCTTGGAAGCAGCAGGGAAGTTGTATTGAACTTCTCAAATATTGGCTAACTGCTAGACATAACCCATTTAGCCCTACAATAAAAAGATTTCTTCCCTAGTTTGAAACATACACTGGGAGGGGTCAGTGGCCACCATCCTCTCCATCTCTGATCGTATGTCAGGTACCACTGAGTTCATCACAGTTTAGCAGGGAAGCGGCAAACTCAGTTGATGTGACAGAAGAGTAGAGGGAGTGCTGAGGACTGGTGGGGAAAAGTGGCCATGTGGGAATGGGGAGAAGTCAGACTGGCTTGTGTTTAGTTCACTGACATTCTCGCTTTTGATTACCATAAACAGTTTGCCAAAGATAGATGCAACTCTAATTAGCTCAAGGAAGAAAAAGACTTGTAACTAGGGAAACATTTCTTGTAATTGGATGTCTAAAAAGTTAAACTGACAAGAGGAAGAACTCAAATGTCAGCAGGGCTATGATGTCTGCAGTGGCCACATTATTTCCTCTTGAAGATAGGTTTTCTCCATGCGCGGGGGAGACAGGGACACATGGTTCCATGGTTACACCATCCCACATTAATGTCCCTAGAGGAAAGAGGCTTTGACCCACAGTCTATTAAAAAATGTGAGTGTGTGTGTGTGTGTGTGTAGAGATTCTGACTGGTCTGGGTTGGCTCATATACTCCTTTCAGGGTCACTGACTGTAGCCTGAGGGCTGGGGCATCCACCAGAACCACATAGTGTCACCAGATGAAAGGCTGCTGGACAGACAAAAATGAATGAATGTCCATTACAGGTATCAGTTCCCCAGACTAGCCATTTAACAGACATGGTGGAATCAGAGAGCCTGGAATTTCGGGGATGTGCTTCGAAGGGAAAGTAGAGGTGGTTATGCTGCACATTTTTGCAGTGGTCTCTCGCTAGGGGTTTATTCTTGCCCTTATTGGGAATTCAGGAGGATGTTACACTTATAAACCTCCTCTTCTTTCATAAAAGCCTGATTTTTCTGGTTAGAGCAAACTGTTGAAGTTAGTGTGGTCAGAAAGCCTGCACAGAGGGGCTTGGAGACATGTAAAAAGCCTGAATCCAGTTGGCTGATGGAGCAACTTTCCTGTGAGGGACACTCTGGTTTTGAGAGTTGCTGTTAAGCAGCAGAAGCCCTCCTGTTACCCCAAAATGCTCCTATGAGTTCTTTAGCCTTCAGTGAGGTTTGCCTACCCACTCTTTCCCCACCGCTCCCCATTGCCTCCTGCCCTGGCCTCCCTACCCGTACCCACCCATCCTGCTCAGACTCCCCAAGTCTCTCTTAGGTCTGCACAGCACTCACCCTTGTGCTGTTTCCTCCCACTTCCTCAATTACTCCTTCCTCAGAGATAGCCCAACAATGGATTTTCCTGGAGGAGCCGTCCTCCTGCTCAGAAGGCAGAGAATGGAGAGATGGCAAATAATTAAATATTGATGTTTTCCCAGAGAATTGTTAGGTAAGTGATGGTACTTGCCGTGATGGAATATTACAGAGTCATTAAGAATTGAAGATTCAGGTTTATATAAAACATAATACATATTACATATAATATATAATGAAGTCACAAAAGCAGAATGAAAAATTATATATCCAGAATGAGTGAAAGTATGTAAAAATGAATAAGAAAAGAAAAAAATATAAGGAGATGCACAAAAATACTCAAAGTGGCTGCTTGGATAATAGGACAAAGGCTGTTTTCCCCTTTCTTTCCTGTTATATGTATTTTCCAAATACCATAAGTATTGCATGTAGGATAATGAAATAAACATCTTTTAAAAAATATTAACGTTTTCCACCCATCATAGAAAGAAGAATGATCCTCCATAGCTGTGGTTGCAGAAAAGACCCCAGGCTTTGGAGGCAGATAGCAGTTTGATCCTGGCATGGCTGTCCACCCAAATCGTAGCAATGGGCTTGGAACGGAGCTTAAGGACCGCCTTGCCGGTGACGGTGCCTGCCTCCTGTGGTAGCTTCTCAGTCCCGGGGTCTTTCTTACAGAGCTCCTCTTTTGAGAGCTGTGTGAATGGTAAAAACCCTTCCCAGAAAGCCCCGCCTTCAATGTGCTTTTTGTTTTGTTTTGTATTTCCTGGCACAAGAACAGGAAAAAAAAACAACAAGTAAAGGAAGTTTTTAATATTTGGGCAATACTGAAAGCAGAGATTAAGGAGAGGCAGAAATCAATCTGGTTTCCTCAAAATCGAAACTCTCCATCCTGGGCTTGGACAGACTTACAGATAATCACTTGCTCAATGTGCAGAACAATTTGTTGGGTGAATAGCACTGCACATAAATCTCCGTTGTTTACTGTTTTTTTTGAGGGGGTGGTGGAAATAATCAGGTTTACTTATTTATGTTTAGGGAAGTACTGGGGATTGAACCCAGGACCTCGTGCATGCTAAGCATTTGCTCTGGCTTGAGCTATATCCTACCTCCTGGTATTTACCTATAATGCCTCTGACTTTCTTTGTTGGGGAGCCAGCAAATAAAATGTGATGTTGATGAACACATGTCTTTCCTCCCATTAAAATGGCCAACGTGTCCTGAGTGAGGACTGACTGTATGCCAGACATTGGGCTCCCACTTTATGAGCCTCATTTCATCCATTACTCTCTCTTTGGGGAATGTGTTTTTATATATTACCTTCTATGTTGCACAATATCATCACCACTCCATTTTACAGATGAACAAACTGAGGCTCAGGGAAGGGTGCCCTGGACCCTTTAGCTAGCAAGTGACAGGGCCAGGATTTGGCCCACGTGTCCTGAATCCAAGGCTCAGCGCAGGCAGGAGTGGCAGGAATAGATATGAACAGGAACTGCTTCTACCCTGTGGAATCTCAGCCCAGTGCAGAGGAACAGCCTATGTTTGGTCATTCATTCATTCATTCATTCATAGTTGCCTACTGTGTGCCAGGTTTGTGCCAGGTTTGGGGGACATCTGTTGGCTTAAGACCCGTAAGTACTTAAGACTTAAAAGTACTTTCTGCTAGGCCCTTGCCTTTAAATGGCTTTAAAATTTAATATACAGTAGTCCCCCCTTATCTTAGGGGGATATTTTCCAAGATTCCCCAGAGGATGCCTGAAGCCACAGATAGCCCCAGACCCTAAGGTAGTCCCCCCCTTATCCCTAATATTGCCTCTCATGGTTTGTTACTCAGTGGACCCCAGAAAGCGAAACTGTGGATAATGGGGGCCTGCTGTACTTTTATTTTATTTTATTTATTTATATTTTTTATTGAATGAAAAATTCTTTAAATTCTATAATGTTTTACAGTTTTCAAAAGGATCACACATATTATTTCCCATAATCCCATAATCATAATCACATAAAATAATAATTCTTTTTTTCTACCCTGATATTGCCCCCCCTTCCCCACTGGTAACCACTAGTTTGTTCTCTGTATCTGTGAGTCTGCTTCTTTTTTGTTTTATTCACTAGTTTGTTATATTTTTTTTAGATTCCACATATAAGTGATATCATACAGTATTTGTCTTTCTCTGTCTGACTTATTTCACTTAGCATAGTACCTTCCAAGCCTATCCATGTTGCTGCAAATGGCATTATTTCATTCTTTTCCTATGGCTAAATAGTATTCCACTGTGTGTGTGTGTGTGTGTGTGTGTATTTTATATATATATACACACACATACATACACATATATATATACCACATTTTCTTTATCCATTCATCTGTTGATGGACACAGTTTGCTTCCATGTCTTGGCAATTATAAGTGATTTTGCTATGAATATTGCCATACCTGTGTCTTTATTGAATTAATGTTTTGTTTTGTCTTTTTTTTGGATATATATCCAGGTATGGAATTGCTGGGTCATATAGTAATTCTATTTTTAGTTTTTTGAGGAGCCTCCCTACTGTTTTCCACAGTGACTGCACCAGTTTACATTCCCACTAGCAGTGTACGAGGCTCCCTTTTCTCCACATCCTTGCCAACACTTACTGATTCTGTTCTTTTTGATGATAGCCATTCTGATGGGGGTGAGGTGGTATCTCACTGTGGTTTTGCTTTGCATTTCTCTGATGATTAGCAATGCTGAGCATCTTTTCATGTAGTTGTTGGGCCCACTGCAGCTTTTTTTTTTTCTTGAGTGGCATATTTGTTGTTTTACTGTTAATTCGACACATCTGAACCAAAGCATTCACAATACTTGATATACTTTGAAGAGAATCATATACTATAGTCTTAGACATAACCACAGAACAAGCAGAACAATTAAAGCTACATAAGACCTTAAAATATATTCACAATGTATGTCATTTCAATATTCATTCATTTACAAATTGGTGTATATACTGTTAATTTTCTTTTTCTTTCATTGTTTTATTCAGGCAGGATTCATGCAAGAAAAGGCAACTTAGTTTTTGTGTGTGAGCTTTATTTTTTGCTACATTGGTTAATATAAAAAGTATGAATTAAATGTTTTCTTATCTCCTGCATCCAGGGGTGAAGCCATGAAATTCTCGGATAGTAATCCAAAACAACAGATTCTATTCTTAGAAACAGTCAAAGTGAAAAGGGACCAAATTGCCAGTGTGTTTGTGATCTTAAAGGACATCTAGTGGACTTTTAGGTTTCCTAATAAGGACAGTACTGCATTTTGACGAGGTTAGTTCACTTGAGTGGAGGAGACAGACAAACTGTGTGTGTATACACGATCTTAAATACTGAGCGCGCTGCAGGACCGGTGTAGACTGGCTGAGAAGGAGGTGGACCTGAGCTCGGTTCGGGGGCGACTCGGGGCAGAGGAGGGTTTGAAGGGAACAGGGGGCATCCTGGCCTGTGTGTCCTAGAGGCTGGAGCAGGCTGTCCCTGTCGCCCGGGACAGGGAGCTCTGGGAGACTCTAATTAGTCACATGGGGAGGGGCCGGGCGACCTCACGCTGGTCTGAACTCTGCGGCCATTTAACCGGTTCCCTTTGCCGTGGAGGTTGCGCTGCCTCCCAAGTCCGGAAGGTGGGTGGAGCGGTATTTTTCGGGACTTAAGGAAGGCTTGGGGTGGCTCTCCGGGTCCCCGAGGCTGCGTGGGGGATGGGGAAGCTTGGTGAGGCGGGAGACAAGAAGTTAGGCAGCAGCTGCAAGCAGCGTCGCCTTCAGG